GGGTGCCATGGGGTGCTGTGGGGTGCCATGGGGTGCTGTGGGGTGCTGTAGGGTACCATGGGTTATGGTGGGGTGCTGTAGGGTGCCATGGGGTGCTGTAGTGTGCCATGGGGTGCTATAGGGTACCATGGGGTGCTATAGGGTACCGTGGGGTGCTGTGGGGTGCTGTAGGGTACCATGGGGTACTGTGGGGTGCTATAGGGTGCTGTGGGGATCCGTGGGGTGCTATAGGGTACTGTCGGGTGCTGTGGGGTACTGTAGGGTACCATGGGTTACGGTGGGATGCTGTAGGATGCCATGGGGTACTGTAGGGTGCTATAGGGTGCTGTAGGATGCCATGGGGTGCTATAGGGTGCTGTGGGGTGCCGTGGGGTACCGTGGGCGCCACAGGGTGCCAGCCGTGTTCCTCTGCTCCCCCCTCCTTCCCCGCAGAACGGCCCCTTGCCTCTGAAGTACCGCGTCCAACCCGCCTGCAAGCGGCTCAAGCTGTCCCACCCCGCCCCTTCCGAGGGCACCAACACCAGCGGCGCCTCCGAGTGCGAGTCGGGCAGCGACAAAGCCCACAGCCCCGCCACCCTGCCCGCCACCTCCTCCTCCCTGCCCAGCCCTGGCACCCCGTCCCACGGCTCGCCCAGCTCCGGCACCGGCACCGCCCTCAACGGCACCTCGAACTGCCACCCCCTGGCACCCACCGGAGCCCGGTGCCGCAAAACCGGGACTGTGAACGGCAGCGCGGGCTCGGCCTTGACCTAAAAACCCCCGCCGCCCCCAAGCAGGGACTGCTCCCCCCGGGGGGCCTCCGGCTTTTCTTATTGTAGAGATTGTTCTATACAGACCTTATATATAAATATATATGTTGTACATAGGGAGAAGAAAAAAAAAAAAAAAGAAATAATTATACATACTTATTTTCTATCGACCGAGCAGATTAATTTAAAAAAAAAAAAACAAAAACGCAGAATAAGACACAGAAATGTGGGTGGGTATTTTTTAAATGTTCTCTCTTTTTCTGTTTGTTCGTTTGTTTGCGGTTGGTTTGGGTTTTTTTGTCGTTTCTCTGGTTCTGTTGTGGACTTTTTGGTTTCCCCTTAAGGGAGCTGCATGCCGGAGCTGGGAGCCACGCAGGTGCTGCCACAATTCCCTGTTTTCTCTAACGCTTTTTCCCCCTCTCTCCTCCTCATCCCTCTCTCCTCGCTCGTGTCCCGCCCGGAGGGGCCGTGAGTGGGGAGCCCTGGCTGCACAGGTAAGGGCCAAGCACAGGTAAGGGGCCAAGCACAGAAGCCAAAAACTGCCCCTCAGCCTCGCTGTGCTGGGGGGGTTCTTCTATTTTGTTTTTTTTTTTTTGCATTTTTGCGTTTATTTGGGGGTTTTTAGACCTGCAGCTGCCCCGTGGTCTGGGTATCCCACTCCCCCCCAGCTTTACCACGTGTGAGTTTGGGTCTTTCTTTGCTTTCTTCGCGTTCTCTGGCTGCTGTTTCAGGCTCTGGGCAGGCAAAGCCTCGCACAGACACTTCCCCTCCTTGCACAGTAAGTTCTCTCTTTTGGGTTGTTTTTTTTTCCCAGCTTAAAAATTATCTCTGCTTGCAGCTTGCTGGCACTGGGGGTTGAAGGATAACCCCCAGGAATATTTTCTCCTCCCTGGGGGTGCCGACAGCTCCGGGCACTGCCGGGAAATTTGGGGGCATCCAAATGGTTGGGGGTTTCAAATCCAGGAGGGTGTGGGGACCCCCCCCCCCATTTATTTTTGGTCTCCCCCCTCCCCACCGTCCTTCCCACCCTCTCCTCCTGCCCTCACACTGGGTTTTTAATAAAATAAAATACAAAAATAGCAGACTACAGTGCCTTTAGCCAGGAGGCTTCGGTGAGGGGCGAGTGTGGGAAGGTGCTGCCGTGCTTAGGGCGGGAGTGGAGCGGCTCCGAGGGGAGGGACCAACTTCCCACACGGACAGAAAAAAAAAAAGCACACGAGCCCCGGGGAATGCAGATCCCAAGGGTTCCTCTCCTGTCCTTGCCGGGGAGGGGGATGAAGGACACAAAAGAATTAGCAAAGTGCCTGCAGCGCCTGCAGCGCCCCGACGGCCCCCAGGGCACGGTGAGAACCAAAGGAAAGCGGGAATTGTAGGGACAGCCCGACTCCCGAGGGTCGGGAAAACACGGGATGTTTGTCACTGCAGCTTTTGATTTGGAATTACTGTTTTTTGGGAAGTGCTGCACCCCCGGCACGGACTCGGCTATAGCACAGCCCCAGGAGCTGGGGAGGCCCCGGGAAGGGTCCCCACGGGGCCACTTTTGTCTCTTGTCCCCATCCCCCGGGCTGGGGGGCTCCAGGTTTTGGGGGGGGGGCTCCGTTTGTCTCGACTTTGACACCCCTTTTCTCCTTGTAAATAGGCCAGGCTGGACTGTGGGAGGCGGCTGCCTCGGGCTGGGGTTTGTGTGGGGCTCGGGGATGGGGTGGTTTGGTTTTGGTTTTTCCCTCTGTGGTACAAACCCGATGGCTCTGTGTGTTTGCATCCTGTACGGCGTTTTAATGTCCTGTAAGATATCCCGATATCCAGGTATTTGTTCTTGGTTACACATTTGTATGGATACAGCTTTGTAAATGTAATAAATGCTGCAGACTGTCCTTCCCGCCCGCACAGGGGCAGCTCCGGGTGCCTCCGTCCCAAATCCCACCGGTCCTTCCATCCCAAATCCCGGGGGTCCCTCTGTCCCAAATCCCACCGGTCCTTCCATCCCAAATCCCGTGGGTCCCTCTGTCCTAAATCCCACAGGTCCCTCTGCCCTGCATCCTGCAGGTCCCTCTGTCCCAAATCACACAGGTTTCTTTGTCCTGCATCCCACAAGTCCCTCCATCCCAAATTCCACAGGTCCCTCTGTCCCAAATCCCACTGGTCCTTCCATCCCAAATCCCGGGGGTCCCTCCGTCCCAAATCCCACAGGTCCCTCTCCCCTTCATCCTGCAGGTCCCTCTGTCCCAAATCACACAGGTTTCTTTGACCTGCATCCCACAAGTATCTCCATCTCAAATTCCACAGGTCCCTCCATCCCCAATCCCAAAAGCCCCTCTGTCCTGCATCCCATGCATCCCTCCATCCCAAATCCCATGGGTCCTTCCATCCCAAACCCCACAGGTCTGACCATCCCAAACCCCACAGGTCTGACCATCCCAAATCCCACAGGTCTGACCATCCCAAACCCCACAGGTCCCTCCATAAGCAATCCCACGGGTCCCTCTGCCCCGCATCCCACAGGTCCCTCCATCCCAGAACACACAGGCCCCTCCATCCCACATCATGACCCAAAAAACCCCACTGTCCACAGGATTCCTTCTTTCCCAGCTGCTGCTGGTTCGCTGCAGCTCCTCAGTAATTCACATTTAACCGGGGTGGGGGCTCAGCATCCCCCTCCTCCCTCCGTGCCCGCGAGCGGGACGCGCATCCCGGTGATCCCGAGTGCATCCCGGTGGTCCCGAGTGCATCCCGGTGGTCCCGAGCTCCCGTGGGCTCCACGTCAGGGCTGGGGAGGCAGGGGGGCCCCCTGCACCTCCTCCCCGTTGTGGGTGCCGTCGCAGTACGGGGGGTTTTGGGTGCGTTTGCAGCCGCAGAGCCAGGCGGGCCCGTCCTCCTGGGGGGTGAAGCGCAGCGAGGACATCCCCGGGGCCGCCTTCTTGTGGGAGCCGTCGCAGAAGGGCTGCGGGCAGACGGGCAGGGGGTAAAGGGAGGGGGTCTGGGGGCGCCCGGCTGCTTCCCCGCGGGGTGTGTGAGACAGAGGAGGGGCCGCGACCCTCCCCATCCCACCCACACCCAGCGCATCCCTCGGGAACTGGGGGGGTGGCGGGAGAAGCCGGGGAGGGAACAGCGCCTCGTGCGCCCCAAAAAAAACCCAGTCTGGGACTGGGGGGGGAAGGAGGGTCCCTGTGGGGCTGGTCCTGCCCTGACCCCATCGGCATCCCCGCACATCCCAAGTGGAGGGAGTAAAGCCCCCCGGACCCCCAAGGAGTCCCTGGACCACCCCCAGCTCGCGGAGCCCCCACGGACCTCCCCGACCCCCCCGGCCCCTCCAGACCCCCCACTCACGGAGCCCCCCGGACCCTCCGGAGCCCCCCATGACCCGGACCCTCTGGATTTCCCCGAGCTCCCCCCGAACCCCCCCCCGGGCCCGACCTGGCGCTTGCTGTGCCCGCAGGAGCACCACGCGTACGTCTTGCCCGCCTTCAGCTCCACCGGGAAGGGCTCCTTGGCGGCGATCGCGGGCTGCGGGGGAGCCGAGGAGGAGGAGGAGGAGGAGGAGGAGGAGGAGAAGGGGGCCCGGCCCCGGGGAACCCTCAGCAGAGCCCCGAGCGCGGCCGGGCTGAGCCGGTGCATGGTGCCGGTCACCCTCCCGGGCTCAACCCCCCGATCCCGGTCACCTTCTCGGGTTCACCCCCAGCACATTCCCGGTCACCTTCCCCGCCGGCTCCTCCTCCCGCGCCGCCGGAAGGTTCGGGCCGGGCGGGCTCGGCGGGAGCGCCGGGCTCGGTGCGGGAACGTTCCACCGGGCGCGGATCCGCGGCTGCTGCCGGTGCTGGTCCCGGTGATGCTGCAGGTGATGGTCCCGGTGATGCTCCCGGTGCCCAATCCCGCTGTCCCTCCCGGTGCGCGGTCCCGGTACCCGATCCCGGCTCCTGTCCCGGTGCCCCGATCCAGGTGCCAGTGTCTGATCCCACTCCCTGATCCCGGTACCCCGATCCTGGTTCCAGTGTCTGATCCCACTCCCTGATCCCGGTGCCTTGATCCCGGTGCCAGTGTCTGATCCCACTCCCTGATCCCGGTGCCCTGATCCCGGTACCAGTGTCTGATCCCACTCCCTGATCCCGGTCCCAGGGTCTGATCCCACTCCCTGATCCCGGTGCCCCGATCCCGGTGCCAGTGTCTGATCCCACTCCCTGATCCCGATGCCCCGATCCTGGTTCCAGTGTCTGATCCCACTCCCTAATCCCGGTGCCCTGATCCCAGTGCCAGGGTCTGATCCCACTCCCTGATCCCGGTGCCCTGATGCCGGTGCCTCGATCCTGGTTCCGGTGCTGATCCCGGTTCCCGATCCCTGTCCCAGTCACGATTGCCGATCCCACCGCGCTGTCCCGGTGCCCGCTCCCGGTGCCCGATCCTTTTACACGGTGTCGGTGCCCAAACCCAGTCCCTGATCCCGATCCCCGGGCCTGATCCCGGTCCCTTTCCCGGGCGAGAAGGATCAGGATCCCCGGCTGCCGAGCACAGCCCTCCCCGTGCCTCAGCTTCCCCCCGGGAGAACGGGGAGCGTGGAAACCTTGGCTTTGGTGCTTCCAAGGAACAAACCCTTGGGAGAGGGGAGGACTGAGGAGCTGCTGGATGCTCGTGAGGTCAGCGAGTGGTTTTGGGCCCTCAGTGTGGGCTATCCCTGTTTTTTTGGGGGGAAAAACCTTTCCACCAACTGCTCCTCCCTCGCCCTGGTCTCCTCTCATTTCCAAAGTGAATTCCCCCGGGGATCCCACTCCTGCATCCTGAGAGCATCCCTTGCTCCAGATGCTGCCACACATTCCCTGTGGAAAGCAGGACCCGGCACCTTTCAGGGAATTCATCCCACAGCCCCTATTCTCGTTTAAATGTGCCCCTTTCTGCATTAAAAAACTCCATGATATTAATATTAATATTATTTATTATAATAAAGAACAGTCAAGCAGCGTGAAAAAAATATATCTTAGCTACATTACCTTAAATTGCCAAAAATATACACATTTTTCTCTTTTATTTAATTAAAAAAACCCCAAAACAAATCCAAAAAAAGACACATGCAACATACTAAATGAGACATCAGCATCAAAACGGGTAAAGAAACGTACCCCAGTGCAACTGAAACACAGATAATCTTTAGCTTTTCTTTTTCCTTTCTCCTTCTCTCCCTCTTTTTTTTTTCCACAGGGATACAACTGGCGACCTTCCAGCAGTGCCCCCTTCTCCCCCCTCCTCCCCTCAATCTGCCAAAGGGACCTTTGGCTCTGGGACAGGTTGAGGTGACAATTCCCAGGGATTGGGAGCCTTTGGAAGGTGTTGGAGAGGTGTTTTAAGTGCTTTATGTCTCTTATCCCCCTCGTCTTCTCCGGCCTCATCCCACCCTGTCCCAAGGAGATCCAGGGGGGGGGATCATATTCCAACTGCTGCCACCACCGAGCAGGGGGCCAGGGATGCTGCACAGCTCAGCCCTCCCTGATTTAACAGTGATCCTGCCTAAAAAAAACCCAATTCCTTGATTTCCAACCTCTTCCAACGCCTGGGTTCCCAAATATTCTCCCAGGAGTGGTGCAGAGCCCCAGCCAGCACCTCTCAGCCTCCTCACTCACCAATAAGTGCCTCTCACTGACCCCCTGCGTGTCTCCTGCTGTTGCCCAGGGATTTGGGCACCAAATCCCAAATTTGGGGTGATTCCAGCACGGATTCCGGGTGTTTTGGGAGATCATTGTACCACAACTCGCTGCACAATGGATTGATCCCAACAACCCTCCCTCCTTCCCATCCCTCTCTCCCTGGTTTCTGATTCTACAGGGGGTGAAATGTGGCTGAATTTTGGAAGAATCTGATCAAACCTGGGCACGACCTCAGGGCCTTGGGGTTATAACCCGGGCTGGAGGTGACGGGCACCACGTGGGCAACAACACTGGCAACGGGAATTTGGGATCTCGGAGCAACAAACAGTGAGAAATAAAATAAAAATCCCCCCCTTGGACAAACAGAGCCCAGGCTGAAACTCCTGCTCACCCAAACCAGTGCTGAGGAACATCTGCTCCCAAATCCCAAGGATCTGAGGGATGGTAGATCCACCACACAAAAACAGGCACTTCAGGGCTGAGGGGCAGCCCCGAAATTTAGCATTTTAGCCCTAATTTGCTGAATATATTTGCTCTCTGTAGCAGCTGCTTTCAAGCCCGAGACTCCTCACATGGGAAGGTGAGACCTGAGGTTTTTACAGCTCACCTGAGCCAGGTGAGCTTTAAAAACAGCCCCTGCACTGAGCAGGGGGTCCCCGTGCCAGGGATTTTGGGTGGCACCTCTGGGGGGTTGCCAAGGAGGGGGAACGACACAGCTGAGGGGGGGAGGGAGGGAGGGGGGAAACGAGAGAAAAAAAAATCAAAAGGAGTTTAAAAAGTGCAAGGACACAATTGTGCCAGAGCGATTTTGGGGGACAAAATGCTTGGGTTGAACTGAAAGATCTCAGTCACAGTTTGGAGGTGGCAGGTGGGGGGAGGTGGCACAGCTCACCCTGTCCCTCGGGAGGTGTTTGGGGACAGGGATGTGCCAGGGAAAAAGCCTCCAGGTCTGTGCTGCAGGGCCTTTTTTCCTGCTTTTTTTCCACTTTTAGCTGCCATCTCCACCTTCCCAATAGCTTCTTAACCTCATTAAAACATTAGCTTTTCTTTATATATATATAAAAAAATTATATATATATATATATATATATAATATATATATATTTCTGGGCAGACAGCAGCGTTCTGCCCAGTTCACAGAACTGCAGGCTGAGAGCAGAAAAGGTTTTCTCTCTCCTTGTTTTTTTTTAGCCTTATTCAACCATCGTGGTGACAATATCTCCCAAACAACCAAATAAAATAAAATAAAATAAAATAAAATAAAATAAAATGGAAGAAAGATATTTAGCAGATGAGTTTTGCCTAGGACAAGCTTTTCTAGCACATCAGCACAGCCCCACTGCTGACAGATTTGAATAGTGCAAACTAGTTTTAAAGGCAGTGGGAATGTGCTGAAAAATGTCATTAAGGTCCAACAACTTGGTTTTTAAGACCCTCAGAGTTTTTTTTTTGTCAGCTGGAGCCTTCCTGCCTGCCCCCAGGAGCTCTGGGGTCACCCAGGGCACGAGGAAAAGGGGCATTGGTACGTTTGACGTAGGGGTTCCCCTTCCCCAGAGCTGCCCCACCTGTCCTTCCATCCATCCATCCTTCCATCCATCCTTCCATCCATCCATCCTTCCATCCATCCATCCATCCATCCATCCTTCCATCCTTCCATCCATCCTTCCATCCTTCCATCCATCCTTCCATCCATCCTTCCATCCATCCATCCATCCATCCTTCCTTCCATCCTTCCATCCATCCATCCTTCCATCCTTCCATCCCTCCATCCCTCCATCCATCCATCCAAGCTCAGAGGAAGCCGATTCCCGGCTGAGATTCCAGGCTGCAAGATGGAATTAAGGTCAAAAGGTGGAGAACGACGAAGGATCCGATGTCCCGGCTCAGGATTCTGGTCACTGTCCCATTCCTTGGAGATCCCCTTTTCCCAAGAGCCCAGGACCAGTGGAAGAACATGGTTTTTGCCAGACTGGAGTGATCTGTGGTGGGTAGGAAAGGACAGGGATGGGATTTGGGACTCTCTTCCCCAAACACATTTTGATCTCCGAGCTCAGGTCCAGGAATCAACCTCCAGGCTCAAAAATGCACCTTCTGGCGTTGGATAAATCCCGGCTACAGCCACTTTTCCACACTGAAATGTTATCCTCTGGGAATCCTGGAAGGGAAGAGACGGCCCAGAGCAGGAATGTGCTTTTCAGGTGAGGGCAGCACCGACCCCACAGCAGCTGGCAGGGCAGGTGTGGCAACGTCCTTCCAAGGAGCAGGTGGCCTTCACCTCCTTCCCCAGCTCCACTCCTCATCCATCATTCCCACTTGTGTCATTCCAGGCCGGATTTGGCTCCAGCTGAGCTGGAGAGAAGAGCCCAGCGGGTGAGAAATCCCAGCTCCAGGAATTCTTCCCGACGTCCCCACCTGGGCACGGCCACCACGCCCCTTCCCGGCGCTGTCACATCCAGTGGGCACTGCCAGGATCCTCGGGCTTGGCACAGGGGGAGATCCCACCCCCAGGAATGCCCCTGGGAGGGGGGGTTACACGCAGGCAACCACCCCCCCCCCGGCGGGGAGGAGGTCGGCGGGATCTGGCGGAATTCCTGGAATTCCCTCCTCCACACGGAGCAGGTTGGCAGGGAAACCCCCCCCACCTTCGCTCCTCACGGCCACAGACGTTCTGTCTTCCCAAAAAAGCACCTCTTGGCATCGCCCAGCGCCGGGAATGCTCCTCGGAAGCCTTGTGCTCATTGCTCTAACAGTGTCAAGGTTGGCTGTGGAAAAGCCACGTTCCCCTTGGGGAGAGGAGTTGGCTGCTGGTTTTTTCGGGGTCGGGGGAGGGGAGCTTAGCCCTTGTCCTGGGTAAGAGGAGCTCCCTTTTCATTCATGTTCTTTAAAAAAAAAAAAAAACAAACAGAAAGAGACGCAGAGGAGACAGGTATGAGAGGAGACAGGAATCACAGAGCCCTGATGTGCTGCACGCCCGGCCCTGCTCGCTGGCACCTCTCAGGCTCCTCCAAAACCAAGAGACACGGCAGCCCCAGGGTTCCCTCTGCCTGGTTCAGGCCCAACTGGCCCCTCAGCCCCGGCCTGTGGCTCCTAAATGTCTCCAGCCAGG